ATAATCATTCAGCATTGTCTGTTTCAGTAACTTTTTTCCTTACTATTTAAAGAACACTTAATTTCAGCCCCCAAATAAAAAGGAGCATTTTCAACTATATGGTATAACATGATCTATTAAGCAAATGGTAGCTATTTTTTATTTTTCTAGTGCAAAGTTAAATTAATTATTCTAGCGAAAAGTCATATAATATGCATAAAAATTATGACTCATCTTTTGACTGGAATATGGAGCATTTGGAATAACTATACTCTTGCCCATCAAACTGGTCTTGAGCCAACTGTGTACATTCTTTGGGGCACTGAGGAAAATGTACCTGGGAGAGGAAGCCCCTCCTACACTTTATGATTGGGCACATTAAGGTGGTATTGGAAGGCCCAATGGAGGGCATGGAAGAAAGGTTCAGCCAAGAAAATCCATCAAACCCCTCCCAAAATTATGTATTGTCTTTTTCCTGTGTGTTTATTTCTTTCTCATCTTTTATCTTTTTAAAAATTGTGTAAGTTAATGCAAGAACTCAAGCATATAAAAAATTCATAAGTAATTTGTGAATGTATCTTTATATGAAATTTAAGCAATAAAGTACATATAGAACTCCAATGAAAATTTTCCTTCTATTCCTCATCTCAGTTTGTGCCACCATCACACACAAATGCACACACCCACATGTGTGTTCCCTGTCCCCGTTGTTCACTGTCAGTCATCTAGGCGGCATTCTTCCAGTTCTATTTCTATATAGTTACAAAATCATAACAACTTTTAAAATAAATTAGGTTATGGGTTAAGGGTGTGTGTGTGTGTGTGTAAATAAATAGGGTCATTTAATAGATGTTCTACAACTTGCTTGTTCACTGTATTTATCTACCTCCTTAGTGATAGACATTTAGATTTTTTCTAGTTTTTTGCTATTACAGGGAAAAGTATATCCTTGTGCATGCATCTTTGTGCGCATGAGCTAATAATCTTTAGAGTAGGTTTCAAAAAATGAAGTTGCTAAATTAAAGGGTGTAAACATTTCCAAACTTGATGGATATTCCTAATAACCTTCTAACAAGGCTTTTCCAATTTATGCTCCCATTAAACAATGCATTATTAAAGTGCTGTTTCCGTATGTCCTTATCAAACCCAGATGTTATTCATATATTTTTAAAGGCATGGGTGAAAAACCTCCTTATAGTTTGCTGAGAGTATCTCCCTGTGGGCAGAGATTTCTCGGACATTTTGTTTTTATTTTTATTTATTTGTTTTTTATAGGCACTCTTATTACCCAGGCTGGAGTGCAGTGATATGATCATGACTCACTCCAACCTTGAAGTAGCTGGGACTACAGGCACACACCACTATGCCCTGCCCCATTTTGTTTTTAAATGGATAGAGAGAGCTCCAATGTTGAAATCCGAATATTTTGGAGTACTTATGGAGAATTATGTGTTAAATGCTTATTAAATTTAACTACTAAGCTGGGTGTGGTGGCTCACGCCTATAATCCCAGCACTTTGGGAAGCTGAGGTGAAAGGGTTGCCTGAGCCCATGAGTTCTAGACCAGCCTGGGCAACTTGGTGAGACCTCATCTCTACAATAAATCAAGAAGAATTAGCCGGGAGTGATGGCACATGCCTGTAGTTCCAGCTACTTTGAAGGCTGAGGTGGAAGGATTGCCTGAGCCCAGCAGCTCGAGGCTGTGGTGGCCGTGAGCATGCCACTGCACTCCAGCCTAGGTGACAGAGAGAGTCCGACTCAAAATAAAAATTTCACTACTAAAGAATGTCACTTAAGTATGGATATTCCTAATAACCTTCTAACAAGGCTTTTCCAATTTATGCTCCCATTAAACAATGCATTAAAATGTACTATGCTAAGAGCTTTAGTTACGTATCTCATTTAATTCTCATAGTCTGTATTAGTCATATGTTGCTGGGTTACATATTATCCCAAGCTTAGTGGCTTAAAACAACAAACATATATTGTCTTATGGTTTCTATGGGTCAGGAATTTTAAAGCAGTTTAGCAGAATGGTTCTGACCATTCTCTAAGGTTGCAGTTGTCAGCTAGGGCTTCCTAATCTGAAGGCTCACATGGCTATTCACAGGAGGCCTTTTCCTCCCAACATGGGCTGCTCCACCCTGGGCCTGCTTGAGTGTCCTCACAGCATGGCAGCTAGCTTCCCCAGAGCAAGTGATCCAAGGGAGCAAAGGGAAAGGCATAGTGCCTTTTGTGACCTAAATTTCTAAAGTTCCCAATTGTCACTTCTACTTTATTCTGCTGACTAGAAGCAAGTAACTTAAGTTTGGCCATACTCAAGGGGAAGGGAATTAGGTTTCACTTCCTGAAGGGAGGACTTATCAAAGAATTTGAAAACATGTTTTAAAACTGTCACATATCCCTATGTGGCGGTTGTTAGACAGTTATTGTTTTCATTGTTATACCCATTTTACTGATGAGAAAAATAAGTTCACTACTTATCTAGCCTTACTTCCTACCCCCTGGCCTGTGCCCTCTACTCTGTTTGGACTAGCCTTCTCAGTGCCCATGTCAGACACAGATTGCTCATTCTCAGCCATTCATTCATTCATTCAGTAAACACTGTATGCCTGTCTTTGTGCCAAGTGTATTGTGGAAGGTAAAACAGATATGGTCCTTGATCACATGTAGCTTACAGTCTTATGGAGAGAAACCACATTGACTCTGAGATACGATATTTTAAAAAGTACTCCTAAGCCTACTCATACTGTTGTTCCCTGTTCTCCAATGCCATCTTTGCCCCTCTAACCTAGAAAGAATGCCTGTTTTGTTTTTATATGTAAAAGCCTAACTTCTCCATCAGAGTCTGATTTGGGTCCTACTTCAGTGAAGCCTGTCCCTTTCAACTTGCACTGATATCCTTTTCTCAGAACTTTATTCAGTATCACATCTAGTGATTGTTTCTTTAATGTGCTCTTCCTCTGTTTCTCAGCTATACTGAAAGCTCCTTGAGGTGAGAGATCTAGGAGTTTCCCGATTCCTCTGTCTTCCTCACCCCTCACAGTCTCAGCAAATTACACCATCTCTACTTCTGCTGCTGTCTCTACTACCACTCAAGTTCTAAATCATTACCTAAACTACCCAGATAGTCTTCTGACTGGTCTCCCCATTTCTACTGACAGCTATAGTAATCTTTCTATGAGGTTTCTTCATGCAATTATCCTGTTACACACCCCTTTTCATCAAACCTCAAATAAAATCAGTCTCCTTGTTTTGTGTAGTTTTGCCTGTTCTGGCCCCTTCAGGTATCTCTGGTCTCCAACTTCTCTCTCTGTCTCTCTTTCTCTCTCACATACACACACATTATATGTCCCTTCCACCTGACTTTCTTTCTATTCTCTAAATATGCCACGTTCTGTCCTGTACTGGGGACTTGCCCTAGCAGTTCCCTCTGCCCTGAAATGTAATCTTCCTATGATTCTTATTTAGATCTCAGTTCAAATTTCATCTCCTTATAGAGGCCTTCTCAGACCAATGAATCTAAAGTAGCTACCCAGTCACTCTTATCAAGTCACCTTATTTTAATGCTTTTCTAGTGTTTTCCACTGTCTGATATTTCTCTTATGTAAAATTGTCTCTGCACTAAAATGTAAACACTACAAGGTCTCTGACACCTGTGTTGTTCACCATAGATGTGTATAATAGGGCTCAATATTATGTGTTGCATTAATGAATGAAAATTTGTCTTAAGCCTCTGACCTTAACCCTCCTAAAAAGAAAGAGGGAGAGCCCAAAGTCCTAGGCTTCTCACTGGACTCCCTTGTTCAGTGTTACTGTTTATTCAGGGAACTCTGTTTACACTCTTTGCTTAGTACTTATTACCGTCTGATTCTTTTCTTTTTTTGTTTTTCTGTCACCTTCTACTAGTTGTATGCTCCATGAGAGCAGAGCCTCATGGTCTTGTTTGCCATGGTACTGATTTCACAGTAGCTGCAGCAGTATCTAGTCCAGAGAAGAGGCCAAACATTTATTGAAGGCTTAAGTAGAGGATCGGGCTCTGCTTTGTTTATATCCCCCGGTGCCTACCAATATGCTTGACCTGTAGCAAATGCCCAGAAACTTTGGTGGCCACTCTTAATATACTTGCTGTTGGTAGGTCTGTGTTCTCATCCTAGAATTTGGAACAGGAAAGCAATTTGAAACTAAGAAATTTTCAAGAGGTATTTTGAGCCACACTACAAGACTTGTTAGAATATTATCTCTGCAGCCTGAAACTAAGTATTATATAGCTTCTTCCAGTTCCTGTTCAAGAGAGAAGACCAGCTATTTAGAATTCTACACCTAAATAGCAGAAAGGAAGCCACATTTTATTTTGATTCAATTCCTATTTTAATACATTCATTGCATCAGTGAGTCTGGGTATTTATTGAGCCCCTTCAGGATACAAAGTAATGCTTTGGTTGAGCTATTGAGTTTGAAATATTAATCACATTATTAAACCAAAATCAAATCCCCAAGTAGTCAAAAGTGCTGTTCAGGTTGTCAGGGTACAGTTCCTGCAGACTGTATTTTGTGATGATGGGCTTTTACTTTATAATATATGTTCCTGCTTGGGCAGGAACAAAAGTTCGGTAAATAACTGAGGTGTTATATTTTACCAAAATGAAATCATGAAGTGGTCCTTGATTATAAGCTTTCTTCCTGTCCAATTGTTGAAAGATTGTAATTACTGCATCTTTGGGGTAATTTAAGAGTTTTAGATCTTGTAGCTGCCAGGACTAGGGTAAAGAATAATACTTGCCTTTCCCTCTTTGGCACTAGTGTTTAAATTGGACAGAAAGAGAAGGGATATTATTGCTGCCTCCCAGACCTCAAGTCTACCCGAGGTACTATAGTTTCTCTACACCTGTGAGCTGATGGGGTCACAGAAACACATAAAATCCCCAAGGGTTCCTTGACATCATCAACCATAGAGTTTGTAAAGGAAGCATGTACTCTACAAATTCTGTTTTCATTGTTTCTTACTCTTTTTCATTCAGATTTCTCTGTTGACTTCTGCAGTAAACCACCTCAAAGCCAATGTTAAGTCAGCTGCAGACTTGATCAGCCTGCCTGTCACTGTAGAGGGACTTCAAAAGGTAGGTGCCATGCCTGGGTATTGAGAGTAACCATTTGCTGTCATTCCAGCTTTTTACAAGTTTTCTGTGAAAACCTGGCATTTGAAATCAGCTGCTCCAAGTAAACAGTAATAGAGTATGGCATTGTGTTCTAAAGATTCAGGAAAACTTCATTTTGGGCTGATTAGTTGGGCCTTTAATTTGCAACAGGTGACATCATCTGTGATTTATATGGATTCACACCGTTGTATTTGGCTCTCCAAGTTCCAGAATTGCTCTGCTGGGACTCTTAGTGTATATGGGTTTGTTTTCAACACTTGCCTTCTTGCCTTTTCCGTTCGTCATTCACAGTGTCTTCATGAAAGCAGACCAATGGTACAAGAAAGTTGTTCTAATTCTCTGTTATTTTCCATGATTGAGAAAGTTTTTAAAATGTGATCTGGGGAAATGCAAAAATTAAAAATTCAGGAAAAAATGGATGTGGAGCAAAGAAAACTTTCAAACACTCCTGCTGGGAGTATAAATTGATAAAAAATCACTTTGGAAATCAATGTGATATTTTGTAAAGGTAAATATGCCTATCCTCTGAGCAGTTCACTCCTATGTATATACCCTAGACTCCAGGGCTTAGACAACTAATAGTTTGGAATTTCTGTTTACCTGATCCCTGGGATTCAGCAGGAGATAAGGACTAACCATGTGAATAACAATTCTCAGGGATTCTTAGGTCTAGATGGGGAGAATGGATAGAGGTAGTAAGGGAGAAGGTGCCTAATTAAAATATAAGGAAAAGGCCGGGTGCGGTGGTTTAAACCTATAATCCAGCACTTTGGAAGGGCAAAGTGGGAGGATTGCCTGAACCCATGAGTTTGAGACCAACTTGGGCAACTTGGCAAGACCTCATCTCTACATAAATCAAAAAATTCATCAGGCATGGTGGCATGTGCCTGTAGTTCCAGCTACTTGGATGGCTGAAGCGTAAGGATCACCTGAGCCCAGCAGATCGAGGCTGCGGTAGCCATGAGCATGCCAATGTACTCCAGCCTGGGTGACAGAGTGAGACTCCAATTTAAAAAAAAAAGAATACAAGGAACATCATCCCTTGCAACAGGAAATGGAAGAAGGGATTCCCCAAACTCAGGGTATCAAATCTGGGATCTCTGACTTTTAAAAGCTAGGGTGTGATATGTTTGATTTGATTATATGCCAGGTTTTATAGATATATAAGTTGATCTCACAATGGAGTGAGAATTTGCCAAGCCACAAGAAGAAACAAAACTTGCTATTTTATAGCCACACCATCTGTGTGTGCTCAGTCCCCAAAATTTGCTACTTGTCCAATATGGTCATCTACTTACAACTTTAAAAAAAAAAACAGGCCAGGTGCAGTGGCTCAAGCCTGTAATCCCAGCACTTTGGGAGACCGAAGTGATAGGACTGCCTGAGCCCACGGGTTTGAGATTAGCCTAGGCAATGTGGTGAGACCTCGTCTCTACGATAAATCAAAAAATTAACCGGGTGTAGTAGCACACACCTATAGTTCTGGCTACTTGGAAGGCTGAGGCAAAAGGATCGCTGAAGCCCAGCAGGTTGACGCTGGGGTAGCTGTGAGCATGCCACTGCACTCCAGCCTGGGCAACAGAATGAGACTCCAACTCAAAAAAAAACAAAAAAACAATGGTGGGAACAACTTTGATGCTTTGATAGGTCAGATTCTTGCCAAGGGCTTCCCTTGGGCCAAGTGGGGAAAAGGTAGCCTTTTATAGCCATTAGTACAGAAGCAACTCTGGCAGTTTTGCATTAGAAAAGGAAATTGGTTTATTCTTGCATTCAGTAATTCAGTAAACATTTGTGGCACTTCCTCCAGTGTAAACCAGGCACTTTGTGGTTGGTGGGAATACTAGTTTCAGAGTTTTGCTCCAGAGTTCACATGGTTCTATCAGCTGCTTCCTTTAAAAAAAAAATCCTTAAACAAGAGCTTACTATCTTCTTGCATCCTGATGGGGTCATACATCCAGCCAGTGAGGGTTCTCGAACAGTAGGTATCTTTGAATGCCTGTACTTTGTAACAACAGAGCTTGCATAGAAAGCATACCAGCTTAGAGACTTCTATCTAGTGTGTTATTTCTGTGCAAATCTGTGCATTTATAATGCCAAGTACTTATTTTATTACAGGTGGCTCAGTTTTGAAGCAATAGGTCATCCCAAATACCTAATTTCAGTGTATCTCATATAATTTTTTAAAAATATCATCTCTTACTCTCTCAGATTCTTAGATAGTAGTATAATCAAAAATGACTTTGGTTAAGAATACTGATGTGGCACTGTAAGACTGTCAACATGTCTTAATAAAAGGCCAACACCCAAATACTAACACGCTTTAAGATGTTCTCTCAGGACAGGCCTTTTTAAAAAGATGACCTGAATCACATCTCCAAGTCCCCAGTCCACTTGGGTTCTTAGACCTGGTGAAAGCAAAGTAATCCACTATTTATGCCTAACTCTATTCAGTGGTTGCTGACAGGTTTCTACAGCACGGGAAGAATATACACTGCCAAATGGACTTCTTCATCTGTGCGATGCTAGATTTCTCAAAGCCAAAAACAATTCCCAGCACCCACTATTGCTCAAAAAATCCTCCTTTGCTCCAGACAAGTGGAGTTAGCTCAAGCAGTAGGACTTGACAGAGGCAGTTTGTGAGAGAACCTTATCTGTGGGTTCCATATTTGTAAAATAATATTTTTTCTTTAGGAAAGATTCTGTTTTCCTGTAGAAAAAGTTCCTTAAATTAAGAAAATTTCTGGCCATTGCTCTTTGAAAATTTCTGGCCACAAGGCTCTTTGAGCTATAGCCACCATGTTTTCCTAGCTTTAGCCCCCTCCCCTACCTTGGGAAGTTAATCACCCCTCTCTCTCTCTCCAATTTACTTCTTAAATAAACTCTATTTTCCAATCTAAAAAAAAAAAAAGAAGAAAATTTCTTGTTTTATAGATAGAGTTTCTGTTAATAGTCTTAGTATATGCTGCATGGAATTTGTAGTTTGAAGATATGTAAAATAATTTAAAACATTGACTTTTATTAGGTCAGTGTTTGATGCAAATTAAAATCACAATATATACTTCCATTGACTAAAATTGAAAGACTGACAGTACCGACATTGGTGAGGATGTGGAGTAACAAGAACTCACACCCTACTAGCGAGAATGTAAAATGGCATAACCATTTGGTAAAAGAGTTTGGCAGTTTTTTAAAGTTAAGCATAGATCTGCCATGTGATCAGTCATTCACCTCCTGGTATTGTAATGATGAGAAAGCAAGTGATGAGGGGAAATGAAAGCATAAGTCCACATAAAGATATGTACATGAATGTTTACAGCAGCTTTATTTGTAATAGTCAAATATTGAAAACAACCCGAATGTCCATCAACAGGTGAATGAACTGTGATACAGTCATACAATGGAATGCTACTCACCTGAATAGCTATAACACAGATGAATCTCAGTTATGCTGAGTAAAAGTAGTCATACTTTAAAAAGTTCTATTTGCTCACTTGTCCTATTTATATAAAATTTATAAAATGCAAACTGATTTTGTAGTGACAGAAAGTAGATCAGTCGTTGAGTGGGGATGGGGGGTGAATTACAGAGGAACACGGGGAAACTTTTGGAGGTGATAAAAGTTTTTATCTTGATTGTGATATACAATTGTATATGTGTCAGTAATTATACATCTTGAATCTGTGCAGTTTATTACATGTCAGTTATATCTTTAAAAAGCTTTTTTAAAAAGGAAAAAAACCCTGACCTGCCTACATGTTTCTGTTCAGAGTGTAGCTTCCATTGGCAATACTTTAAACAGTGTCCATCTTGCTGTGGAGGCAATACAGAAAACTGTGGATGAACATAAGAAAACCCTGGAATTACTGCAGAGTGACATGGTAAGGAGATCTGCAAATGCTCCAGAAAGTCAACACTCCTGCTCACCCTTTCTATATAAGAGTCATGATACCAGCTCTCCACTTATCTGAACAAAATAAGCAATATATATTGATTGTTCTGCAATCTGTAGATTAAGCAGTTATGGTATATAGAATTAAAAGCTGAGTCTTTTGCAAACATGGTACGGAGGAGAGCAGGTGATAAGACACAGCTCCTGAGGATAGAATGAGTAGGACAGAGAATGAAGAAGAAAGAAATGGAAGAGGAAGGGTATCTCAGTTATTTGTTGGTGTATAACAAACCACCCCACAACTTTGTGGCTTAAAACAATTTGAAGCTGGGCATGGTGGCTCAGCCTGTAATCCCAACACTTTGAGAGGCCGAGGCAAGAGGATTGCCTGAGCCCAGGGGTTCGAGACCAGCCTGGGCAACTTGGTGAGACCTTGTTTCTACAATAAATTTTTTAAAAAATTAGCCAGGCAAATCGGGCTCTGTGGCTCAGCCTGTAATCCCATGCCTTGGGAGGCTGAGGTGAGTGAATTGCCTGAGCCCGTGGGTTCGAGACCCACCTGGGCAACTTGGTGAGACCTCATCTCTACAATAAATCAAAAAATTAGCCGGGCATGGTAGTGCGCGCCTGTAGTTCTAGCTACTTGGAAGGCTGAGGCGGAAGGATCGCCGGAGCCCACCAGGTCGAGGCTGCAGTGGCCGGGAGCAGCCACTGCACTTCAGTCTGGGTGACAGAGTGAGAAACTCCAACTCAAAAAAAAAAAAATTAGCCAGGCATGGCAGTGCATGCCTATAGTTCCAGCTACTTGGAAGGCTGAGGTGGAAGGATTGCCTGAGCCCAGCAGATCGAGGCTGCAATGGCCATGAATATACCACTGCACTCCAGCCTGGACAACATGAGTGAGACTCCAAGTCAAAAAAAAAAAAATGAAAACAATTTTACATTTCTCCATATTCTGTGCATCGGGAATTTGAGTGGGACAGACTCCCAAGCACTGAGAGTCATGCTAGTGAATGAAAGGCCATCTCCAATGTCCCAGCTCCAGCCAAGCTGTCAATTGAATGCAGCCAATACCACATGGAACAGAAGAGCTACCCCTGCCTCCTGCCTCCCAGCCTAGTCAACCTATAGAATCATGAAAAATAATCAGTTGTTGTCTGAATCCACAAAGATTTGGGATGAGTTGTCATGCAGCAACAGATAACTGAGACAGAAGCAAACCCCTGTAGTGCCCAGGAATTGTTTTCAAATGTCTCTGGGTTTCTTAATGCTGTTGCAGGTATAGGCAATCCGTAATCATTCAGAGGCCTTAATTGATCACTTAATAGATGACAACTCTGTGAAGGATTTATAAAGGGCAAAAAAGGATGGCACAGTCCTTGCTGTGTTGCTGGGGAAATGAGTTATTTGCAACTCATTTGAAATGAGAACTATTCAAGGCACACAAAAAGTTCCATAGCCTCTCTACCAGTTTCTAGCAGTTTCTAGATCTTCCTTCCCAGCTTTTCCCAAGCTTCAGAATTCTAAGTTTAAACTGGGCAGTTTGTACCAAAGGAGACCTGGGCTATATTAGAGAGCTCTAGAAGGGAGAGTTTTTCCTTTTTTTCAGAATCATTTCTCCTCATGTTATTTAGTGGGACTAACCCAGAGGCAGAAGTGTTGATCTAGGTGTCCAGACCCCTGTTTCTAGTTCTAACTGCTACTGGGTAACTCTGTGGCCCATAATACTAAAGATCCCTCTAACTCAGTAATTCTTGTAGTCTTACTTTAATATCTTGCTTCTGTCTATAAGTAATTAGCTATTTTCTAAAATAATTTTTCCTGACTGAAAAACTTCTGCTTTCTCGAACCATGGGTTACCTCCCCCACCACCCCCTGCCCTCCCCTCCTTTCCTCTTTATTGTTGCCTTCCGGTTTTTATAAAAGCAGCATTGATAAATGTCTGTGATTTCAGATTTCAAGGAAAACAATTTATTTTCACCAACTGCATTCTGTTGTAATTAAATCTGCCTCTTTTAAACTTCCATGGCTGCCAATAGTAATCCTCCTACTGGCAGGCTTTATACTGAATAAGTCATACTTATGGGCTCTGAAGGATTAAGCCATGCGAAGTTCCCACTAAAGGAAAAAGTGTATATGAACACATTATATTTCAGTCTCTGCAAAGAGAAACCTGAGCAGTGGGGAGGGAATGGAAAAGGAAGGGTAACCCTCAAACAAGTCTTGGCATGTGCTGTAAGGGAAAAACTAATAATGTGCCTGGTTGGTGGTTGTGCTCAATGCCCAAAGCCAGTAGTTACATGACTGGCAGCCCTTTTAATGTCCAAACTTATTTGGTCCGATGGACACTGTCCCACGTTCAGACTGAGTTGGTCCTTAGAAAGTTAGGATCATTCTGTAATTTCTCTGGGAGTACAGGCAATGGAGGAGATGAGAAACGATTTTGAGGAAGTTCATTAACAGACTAAGAAACAGAAGGATCTCAGTTTCCTGAGGTAATCCGGGTGCTGCTGGTCCAGCCAATGCTTAGGCTGGACCTTCTCAGGGCCAAGCACAAAACTGGTTACCTTGTAGGATCCTGGGAAATACTTGTTGATTAATGGGCAGATGCATCCCAGGGGAGGCTAGGATGTTCTAGGACCATCCCAGTTGGTTAAATAGACCTAGTAATTACTTGTTGCTTACACTAACCTCCATTCCTCTTAACAGAATCAGCACTTCTTGAAAGAGACCAGTGGTAGCAACCAGATCTTTCCATCACCTTCAACCACATCAGAACTTGACAATAAAACCCACAATGAGAATCTGAAACAGGTACTCTTTGCCTCTAGCTTAACTTTCCATGACCACAGTTGGCTATGGAGGCAGCCAAGTTTGGGTTTAGTGTTATGGGGCCTGCCTGGGAGCTGAGCAGAGGGGTGTGTGTTGGTATCTTGGGGACCTATATTGCTGTCCTTTTTCTTCTCTGGCACTTTGCAGTTTTTTCCTGCATTTCAATCAGTGGAATAAATCCTTTTCATATCTTGAAAGACATAGAATGGCCAGATTATCCTAAAACTCTTTATGAAAAATAACTATCTGGTCAGGTTAAAGATGAGTGGATAGCAGATTAATCCAGAATGATGGCTATTTTGAGCCATAGTAAATTCTAAGAATGTTAGAAAGCATATCCTTGAAAATTAGGATTTTCTAAAGTCTAAAGACGAAACGCCAAGGGGAAGAAAAAAGAATATTGAGTTCAGAATCACATTAAAGAGAATAGCAGAAATCTTCACTAAGAAGAATTCCTGTCCTGAGTTTAATGCCCTTTAAAACCTATAGTCATCATTCCTTTTTAAGTAGCAATCAGTACTAAAGGATGTCAATAAAAATAATTGAATCTTGTACTAAATAATGCACTACTTGTTATGGTTTTGTTACATGAGCCAATTCAGTAATTGGTATTGTTCTTAAGGTAGTTTTGTTCTGACAAATTAGGTTAATGGGCCTTTCAGTTAATAACCCAACAAGCTCTTCCGCCAGCAGGTGAGGTAAGGAAATCAATTCCCAAGCTCTCAGCTTTCAGGGACCAGAAAGTGAATCATGAAGGTATCCCTCTTCCCTCTTTCCCCCTCCTGTCTAGCTGAGGTCAAACAATTACAGAGGGAGTAAATTGGGAGCAATTTACAGTGGGAAGGACAAAGCAGAGACAGACAACTGGTGGTCGAAACCAGAAAAAGGAGTTTACTTCCGTAACTTGACATAATGGTTGTTGGATGCTGCTGGCCTGCTTGTTTAATATGCATTTTTAGTGGATTCCACAACTTGATTTATTTCTTCTCTAGGATATCCTATACCTTCACAACTCTTTAGAGGAGGTAAACAGTGCCCTAGTGGAGTACCAGAGACAGAATGATCTTAAACTCGAGGGGATGAATGAGACAGTCAGTAATCTTACCCAGAGAGTCAACCTGATAGAAAATGATGTGGTTGCTATAAGCAAGGTAGAAAAGAAAGCAAACCTGTCCTTGAGCATGGTAAGCCTTTTCAGATCTTTGTGACATGTTCTGTGTTGCAGTGTGTTTTGTCTGTGCACGGATGACATTCCACCACTTCATGAGAACAATCTCTGACATATTTGAGAGGCTACACATTGATATTGTACTTAATCCATGTCTCCTTTAATCCTCACACTAGCTCTGTGATGTGAATGGCATAGACAGTGTTTGTCCCGATTTGGAAAGGGAGATGTGGAGGTCAAGTCACTTGCCAAGGCATCACCACAAGTTGTTGGCAGAGATGACAAGCCCCCTATTATGTTACCAGTGAACCAGCTGGTAGGGAAGCTCTGGCATGTATTTCCAAAGGAGGTCTTCTTGATCTTTTCTTTTTAAAGTTGTTAGCAGTGGACCATGGCAGTGATGGTAACCAAAAATCTTTTGCCATTTCTTTAAAGCCTGATTTATCCTGTTTCTATGTGTATATTAAGGGAAGCATATTGCATATAATGTCAGGAAAGTCATTTAAAGCAGACCAATTTCTAAACTTAAGAGGTCATAGAGTCTAACACCTCATTTTACATATAAGGTCACTGAGTGACCAACTGAATCACAGCTGCTGGCTGACCTTACATAGTTTACTAGTTTTCATGTTATTGTGCATAAAATGTTTTTTTTTTTAAATCACCTTTCACACAAACATCGTGCAGGGATCCATGTCAATTATTTTTTTAATAGCTGCAGGCCCACCCTTAAAGATTTTATATAGCAAGGACACAGGCATATATTAAAAAATAGAAATCAAATACAAGAAATTATACTATAAATTCAAGTAACCACCAAAACTGGAAGTAAGCCCGCAAATAAAGTCAAACTCTGGCATATGGAAAGCAGTGTTTGAACGGGCTCTGTCACAGTGGTACTTTGGCAAGTTGCCTGGACTTGACTTTGAAGAGTAGAGTAGGAAGGCCTGTTCCTCCTTCTGTTTTACAGGGGTGTGTAATTTACTACAAAGCTGTGAAGATTAAAGGAGCCTTATTTTTAAAAACCTTTTTGAACTCAACTAAACTAAGCAGGGGCTAGGAATTTTGGCTGAGAATTATGCCTTGAAAACTGGTTTTCAAGGCTTATTGTGAAAACTTACCACCCCCAAACTCACCTTTCTGTCTCTCCCCTGCCCCACTTTTTCTCCAGCAGAGAAAATTGGTAATAGTATCCATCTGTCCTACTGTTTATTCCAACTACATCATACCCGCATGGTTTGGGGTAAAAATTCTGTCGCCTTTTATATTTCAAAGTTTTAAAGTTTGTGACTGAAACAACTAGAAGCACCAGTTTCAGCCTTGTCTCTCTGTGGCGTTTCTCCTTCTCTCCTCCCATCTCCCGCTCCTCTGTAATTTTTGTTGAAAGTATTCTGAAAGCCAGGCTCGGTGGCTCAGCCTGTAATCCTGTGCCTTTGGGAGGCTGAGGTGAGTGGATTGCCTGAGCCCACGGGTTCGAGACCCGCCTGGGCAACTTGGCGAGACTTCATCTCTACAATAAATCAAAAATCAACCAGGCATGGTAGCGCGCGCCTGTAGTTCCGGCTACTCGGAAGGCTGAGGCGGAAGGATCGCCGGAGCCCAGCAGGTCGAGGCTGC